TTGCCTATGAATGAATATTTCCGACAAACATACAATCCGGAGTGGAGAAATCATTCAAACTTCTGGTGGACCGACAATCCAAATTTTCAACAAGTGTTCTTTACGTACTCAAATTAGAACTTATAGGGAGCCGACAAGTTCTTCGTGGGATCGACCCCGTACTTACATAATCTATACTTCATTAGATTCGTGCACTTGCGGGTATTTTTAATTGGTTGTTTGCACATTAATTTGTGTCCTTTTAGGAATGCAACAGTGGCCTGGGTGACTGAGCTGCCATTAGGGCAGTGCTTTGGGCAGCAGGGTCAGTGGAAGGGCGCGAGGCATGGGGCATGGGTCTCAAACGAGAGAAGGCGAGAGCATAACTCGGTGAAATTTGGCAGCGAAGGGAAATTAAGGATGGCAGTAATGAGCATGGCATAGTTAGGACCCAAGCCACGAAGAATGGCAGTGACCAAATCATCGTTGGAGACAGGTTGGTTGATGGAGGCAAGTGAGCCAGCAAGAGATTTGGCCTGGTTGAGGTATTAGTCAACGATTTTGGTGCCTTTTGTCATATCAAAGAGTTGGAAGTGAAGATTGGCAGCACTGGCAATGGACTTTTGGGCAAAGTGAGTTTGCAAACAATCCCAGATTTCTTTGGAAGTGTCATAATCGACAGTGAGGGCGAGAACTGGCTCGGAAAGTGTAGAGGTGAGGTAACTAACGATAATTTGGTCTTGTTTGTACCAGAGAAGGAAGTCAGGATTGGGTAGAGTGAGAGTGGTGGCTGTAACAGAAGAGGAATTAGGAGGGTCAGAGGTGGGGTTGGAGAAGGTGTTGGTTGTGGTGGCAACAGGGGTGGGGTTAGAGGAGGTGGTGGTTGTGGTGGAAACAGGGGCAGGATTAGACTCATCAATGTATTGCCACAAGTCATGGCCGACAAGGAACGGCTTGATTTGGCTAAGCCAGAGCAAGTAGTTGGATTCAGAGAGTTTGATGAAATGGGTAGTGTTTGGGCCAGAAGGGGAGGGAGAGGAGGAGGAGTTGTTGGTGGCGGCCATGGAGGATCAGAGAAGAGAGGTGACTTCGTTTGAAAGAGAGAAGGGCTGATACCATGTAAAGAATGCGATTTCTTGATATTATATTTGGATACAATTGTACAATATATAATACAGTTGACTTTTACTAGAACTATTTTGGTAAATACAAAGGGCTATTAACCATAGCAAATCATTTGGAGATCATGGTATCAATCAGCATCATTTAGAGATTCATCAGTGGAGGAAATAGTGGCTGTGATCGCTGGATTGACACAGTGATATTCTCGTGACATATAAGTTTTTCTCTTGAGGAATGGGCATAATTTCATAGTGGAGAAGTGCAATAATAATCGAGTTGAAACTCTACATCTAAAATATTGGACTTTAAGGCCTCGTTGTTTAGGGAGGACTAGACTCGACTAGACTAGCAAAATGCCTACATTTCATGTGCAATCAAGGCATACTATGAATTGTTGTCTAATTTGGAGGTTGAATGAGGACTATTCATAAGAGGTTGATGACTTATCCCTCATAATCCCACCAATTTCAAGGGGATTAGGGGGATAAGTTTTAGTCGTCAACCTCTTATAGATAGTCCTCATTTTTCCTCCAAGTTAGGCAACATATCCATATTATGTCTTCAATGCACATGAAATGTAGGCATTTTTGTAGTCTAGTCTAGTCCTCCTTACCAAACAAGCCTAAGTGATGAAGTTCCGGACAATATCAATACAATTTTAAACTTAATAGTGGCCCCCAGTGATCCGTTACACAGGATCAGCCGAAGCATCAATGATCAAATTTGTTTCCCAAAGAAACATCTTTCATGATAATTGCTGATTTGAAAACCCTACAACTGATGTAATGTAAGCAAGCATAGTAGGAACCAAGTTGTACGAGCCATGCTAGTAGCTTGGCATCTTTTTTCAAATTTATCTAGATCACCCCACAGCCAACCCAGCGTTGGGCTGTCTTAGCCCATATCCTCGCCTATTCTCAATCCCATCCCATCTCCAGATTTTACTTTTTGAATGAGTTTCTGTCTCAAAAACAACAACCCAATAATTTTTTGTCACACAAAGACATGTCATGGCGCATAACCAAACAAATTAGTAAATAATTTCTGGATCAGAAACAGCAAACAAATGAGTTTATGTTTCAAAAGCAACAACCCAATAATGTTTTTGTTTTAATTGCTAGTGATCAGGATCAAGAGAAAAAGGCTTTGTAATCACTTTACAAACACACACACACGTTCTTTCATTTTCAGTACTATTGATATCGTCATCAACATCAATCAAAGGCGTTGAAGATTGCAATTGACACATGCTCGACCAAAAGACCATGCACACATGGAGCCATTGAAAATGTGCCTTGTAAGTTTTTGTTAGTTTTCATGTGACCCCTACCCACAATAATGCAGCAAACAAATATGGCAGCAACAGTCCAAGACATCCCTCTCTTCCTCCATGCCTACATGACGCTGCATGTGGCGAGCCATCTCAAGTTTTCTTTGCACTGTCTTGAGTCTTGACCTAAATTCAGCCTTCAGTGATCAATTTTGTTCACATTTAATGCCAAACCAAGTGGCGATGTCTCCATTTTCATGCACAGAACTAAGACACTAAGACCACCACCACACCCCTTTCAAACAGACATGCATGTAACCAGTCTTTCATTCATCACTATCCTCCATCCTCCATAGATTTTAGGTTTAAGGCCTCAGCTTCTGACCTACTCTTCTTATATATGTTTATGTTAGTTAGATTCAATTGTTCACTTGTCGTGGTCTGATTGAGACTTGCTCTGTAGACAAACGAAGCTCGATCGGCCCATGCCCGTATTATTAAGTCCACTAGGGCCCATCCCATGATCCCACATTTAAAATAGAATAATTTTAATAGTAGAGTTATCTCAGTCATCCATGCACCCGTAGACAAGTCATAATTATTGATACATAAGAGATCTACAATGCATCTATGCATAGGAGATGTACAATACATTGCCCAAACATATCATATCAAAAGAGTTTTAGAAAGAGATCTCGGTCACCTACTTCATTTGACATTTCAAAATGTAGAATCATTTGAGTTAATCGACTTTTGAATTGAGAAAGTAAGATTATCTGCTTTAGTCAGGCTCAATGAACCGTGACCTACGGTTATAATCTTACTCACACACGCATGAACGACTGAGATGATAGCATTATTCCATATATTAATATGATGGGGCCAGCTGGGTAGGCGTTACATAATGCAAGGTTATAAGATAGAACTTGTCATATTATTATGATATACGGTAGATTCATGGTTGTGTGAGGGGAAGATTCTTACACGTGAGAGAGAGAGAGAGCAGAGAGCAGAGAGCAGAGAGTGGCATGTGAAGAGGGTCAATGAGGCGGTGGGGAAAGGGAGGCACGTGATGGAGCAACGGTCGGTTCAGGTGGTGGTGGCAGTGACCGTTGGAACATTTATTGAGTGGACACATGTACTTTCAACCTCTTTCATCAACTTCGCTTGCCTTTGCACATTCGCATCATTTTGGAAATTAGGCCTTTCCTTACATGGCGGATCCGATTCATACTTACTTTATTAATGCTCTTGTGGGTTCTTTTTTTATTCCTTTTTAGTTTTTATAATTGGGTGATTTTGTCACCTCTAATCTATTTTTATTGAAAAATTACATGTCGAAAAGACAATAATTAGAACTAAGTTGAAAGACAATTCAGTCACATTTGTGAATAATTGTCAATCGTCGATGTGTTATGAGATTCATGTAAATGTCTCCGTACACCAATAATTAGTAATTGCCTATACACATGCGCGGGGCAACTCTCCCTAACATCCCTGAGTCTCGTTGCATCAATCCCCCCGCCTCTCAATTGCTCAAAGGACAGTTAATGATTTTTTAGAAAACTTGTTCATCCGCTTCATCAATGGCAAGATGCAAAAAACAAAAGCTAACATCTGTGTGAAAAGATGTGGTGGTGGGTCAAGCAAGTAGTGTTTCCTCATCATAATTTGCAATTGCATATTGTCCGACATGCATGAGGATTGAGGGCTACAAGTTTTAAAGCTCTAGTACTCAACTAAATGGAAAGGTTTTTGGTTCTTTAATGAGCAATCAATTGCTTTTGGTACCAAGTTATTGTCCACTAGCTAAGATATAAAGATTACTGACCAACTTATTTTGAAAGCAAAAGCCAAAAAGCCGTATACAAATCATATGTAGTATGTTATGTTATATACATAAGATGAACCGAGTAATCCATATTATTGGATGTTCGTGCCAAACACTAGTTTCAAATTTTGAATATTTGTAATGTCCAAACAGTCCTATCCGTACCTTCACACCAAGCTCCACCACATGGACGCGCATTGCATGTTCCCCAAATGCTTACAAGATCAACATGTTGACAAAACCAAGCAAAGTATATTATCATGCTATCATGCTATCATGCCAAGCCAAACAAAAAAATACCCAGCGTCCAAACAGAGCCACAAACCCAGTAAACTTGTGAAAAATCTACAACAAGGTTGCAAAAAAGTTAAGGGGGGGAAATTATGTGTGAAAGCTCCACTTCTCTTAGTTTCTCTCCTCCTAAAGTCCTAATCATCCCATCTCAAGTAGGACCCCACATCACATGGCCCCCCTTCCCAGTAAATACCAAACATGACCTTCCACTCGAATTTTAATAAGAATTAGGACTCGAACACACTCGAATTTTAATAAGAATTAGGACTCGAACATAGGATCTCAAATGCATGAGTAACTGCTCTTAACCACTTCAATTAAGATCGACCCTATCCTAACCGATGGGTTATTCCGTTGCAAATACTAACTCTTTTTCTTGGTAAACTGTAAATACGAACTTTGAAAGATCCTATGATTAACTTACTATAAAAAATTCTTTAAATACACAAGATTATATTAGAATGTAGTTAATATGGCAATTACCTAGGTAAGTAAGTAAAAAGCACCACACACCTTGTAGTTGTGTCTCTTAAAAGCTTAACAGTGAGAAGGTTTCTGTGTCAGGATTCATTCACCTTCAAACGCCAATTATTTCTCTTTTTCTTTTTCTTCCCATTTTTCAAGAAAAACAACAATTAATATCCCCTATCTCCCTATTTCCCTATCTCCCTATCTCTCTCCAATCTAAAAACGAGTTTCTCAAAAGATGTAAAATATTTCCCAGACATTTCTTTTCACACCTGCCAGTCACTCCCAGACTCCCAGTATTCTCGCAATCAAATCAAACCCACTTTCTCGCCAAAAAATTTCCCGGAAAAAGCCATTATTCTGCCGACCCCAAGATACGGTGTCGTTTAGCCACTGCTCACTGCCGCCTTGAATAATATGTGAATAGACGAATCAGATCATGCTGTCACACAACATTTTGGCCAAGCCTCTGATTGGAGAGCTCAACTTCGAAAAATTAAAAAGAAAGCACACGTGCACTGCCCAGACCCAATTTCACCCCAGAAATTCTTAACAATTACCACTATGAGCTGTAACCACATAATTAAGCCAACAACATAATTACAGAAATCATAATATTGTCTTCAAAAATATTAATATATTATATATATTAGCAATTAATTATTTATATAATCTTATATTATTTCCTTGTAATTTGAACTCTTTCATCTTGTTTTTCCTTATACGCTTTGTTTCATAGTACAACGCGTCCCCCCAATGCATTCCATTTTCTTTAACCCGATGGGGAAACCCGAAACCCGAAACCCGAGGCCCAGAGGCTCTCAATTTTCCCAGAAAAATTAAAAAAAAGAATTAAAAAAATAGACAAAAGTTACCGGGAAACGGATTCAGCCAGTTTCCCTATTCTTTCCACGAGCTCCGGAGACAGCTTCTTAGCCGGTTTCTTCTCCTTCTCGGGTCGAAAATTAAACCCCAAAGCATCCGACACTTCCTCGGAGCTCCAACCGGCTTTTCGGAGCGAGTCCGAGAACCGATCCGCTTTGAGGAGCAGAGCGTCGAGTACCGCTTGGTTGTCCAGCATCACCATCTCTCCCTCGAAAAACCCAGAGGCCGATACCGAGACCATGTCCGATATATCGGAGTCGCTCCATCCGCCGCGTCGCAACGCGGACCCGATTTGATCAATGTACTCGTCCACCCATTTCGGGATTTCGGACCTCGATGGCATATCGAAGAACCGCTCCGGCGACGAGGAAGACGATGAAGACGAGTTGGAGTTCCTCCGGCGACGATCCACGGCGGCGTCGCTCCAGAACTCGACCCATCTCGGTGTTTTAGCTCCGGACCCGAAACCCGTATCCAGGCTCCTTCGCGAGAAATTAGTCGACGACCCGGCCGATTTTTCGCTCACTGACCTTTGCTTCTTGAGAATATACGGGTCGGAGTCCGATTTTCGAAACAAAGACTCGCGCTCGAAGAAATCGGATAGATCCAACCCGCAACAAAAGATCCGGTTCTCATCCACGAAAAAGATGGGGTTCCCAGCCAAACAAGGGTTACAAGGAATGTAGCAATGGTTGAAGATGGGTATCAGAAGCGGAGCCCTCTTCAAAGCGGTTCGCGCGACCCGCAAAGCCTTTTCCGGGTCGGACGGCCTCGGGCCCCACGACTTGGACCAGAGGGTGTTCCGGGCGATTTGGAACGAAATCGCCGCGATCGGAAGGTCGAGCGAAGCTTTGAGATGGAGACGAGCACCGGCGGCGCGCCAGTCGGGGAAGCCCGGGCCCACCGGCAACCCAGCCGAGAGAATGGCTTTGGGGAACTCCGCTTCTGCTCGGGCGAACTCGGATTCGGATAGACCCGGCTGGACCTGGATACCGGAGCTTTTGAGGTGGGATGTCACGTTCTCGGCCAAAGAAGAGAACGAGAGAAGGCCGTTTCGTACTGGAAGGGTTGTTGCGGTGGCGGTTGAGGAGGGGGTTGGTGGTCCCGCGGCGGCTCGGGCGGAGAGGCGGCGGAGGCCGGCTATGTGAGCCGGGTTCAGACCGGTCATCCTCCGGTCGACGTCAACCATTTTGGTTCGAAGATCGACGAGTTGAAATCAAATCGATTTGCTCTATGCAGATTGAATGTGGCGTGTTTGGGAGATTGATTGTCTGAGAGTGAAGTGAAAATAGGAAAAGTGTGTCTGTGTCTTAGTCTGAGTGGGAGAGCTTTTTCGTGGGAGAGAAGAGAAGAAGGACTTCGTTGTGAAAAGCAAGCTTTGGGTTATTTATAGCCGCTCTAGCGTGGGCCCCACTCAGATTTTGGTCATCTTTTTTATTTTATTTTCGGTTTTTCATTTTTTTAGTTACTAAAGCAAGCAACTAGCCTAGCCTAGTGGATACTAAATTTACTAGTTAATTGCCCTTGGATTTTCTGATAATGACCAACTCTAAAACAAATTATTTGATCATTTACGAGGGACTTCTAGTTTAAATGGTTACGAGTTGTTATCTTTGCTTTCGAGTTCCTGTCTTGTTTTCACTTTCTCATATATCTGAACATTGCTTGTATTATTGGAAAAAAAAAAAGAAAAAAAAAACATTGCTTGTATTAACAAAATAAAATTAGTTGCGTATCTAAAATGTCATAATGACAGACAAAAATGCTCTCGAACGTAAAATAAGGAGATATTTTATTGTTAAAGTATGAGTGTAAAATGTTGGTCGAATTCATCAATTAGTCTTATAAAAGAAAATAATGTGTTTTGAGAAATAATGATTTTACTATCTTTTTGAGCAACGGTGAAAAGCTAGAAAAAGTGTGGCTTTGATTGTGGTGTGCTGGGGGAAGGTTAATCACTTCTCTAACGGGATTTTGGTGCCAACAAATTGCTTGACCTAATAATTAATCAAAGCTTTTTGTGCTAATTGCTGTTTTTACCAATAAAAACAAAGATAATTAAAAGAAAGAGTTGATGCCTTCTTGGTTCTGGTAAGAAAAGAATGATGAAAATGTGGCCCATAAAGAATGATGTATTTGGTTTGACAGAAGAGATAAAGGAGAAGCAAAACCATCATCAATGATACCGCATTTGCTGTACACTAGACGTTGAATTGCTTTTCAAGTATTTAATTTAGGAAAACAAAGCAATTTTTTACTGCACCAAAAATATGTTAATCAGCTAATCATTGGTCATCAGAATAATAAGACCAGCAAGGAGATAAGATGTTCCTCAAGGTGAGGGCATCGTTTATTTTTCCTCATTCATTGCCATTAATAAATGTCTCCCTTTATTCATCTTCACACTTTCTGGGAATATCATTTACATGTAAAAATTTCATCAAAACAGATGACACGAACATTTTTATGCTACTGCTGAGTAATAAAACAATCTTTTTATTTTTATTTTTAAAGTTAATCAAATTCAGACATATGCATTCTTTGAACAAAACAATTCTGTCACGTGATCGGAACATCACCATAGACATTTTCTCAATTATGGGTGTAATATGCACGATGATTTAGCAGTCTAGTTTTATGTGATTGAAATGTCAATTGTGATTGCAACATAATGTCATTTGATCGATATCGTCTTTCAAAAAGATTTTTAAATTTTAGTTACTAAATTATGAAATAGCGGATAGTACGACACTATTTCACTTATTAAAAGGAAGTAACTTTTAGAATGAGTTATCGCTTCAATTAGTTAGGATCCAAAATTTCAAGAGTTCATTTGGTTGGTAGGGTAATATTAGACTCACGGTTACATAACTAGCTAGTCTCTACAAACAGAATATCAGAGTGCAATTCACCAAAAAACAGAATCAAATTGCAGTACCTTCACATGGATTTACATTGAGAAAGTCAGCATAAAATGGGAAAGTCAGAAACAGGGGACAGGGGATTCCTGGCAAGCAAGCAGGCCAAGGCCTGCCATTTCACATTCGAAAATCCTGTTCTTTTAACATTGGATTTACATTAGTTTGAATTTCTCGCCTACCAGTAAGGAAATGTAAATCATGTTTGAGTTCAATGCTTGATTCAAATTGAACTCTAAGAAGAGTAGTGACAAAAAAAGAGTATATATGTACCCTTTTCAAGGAATTATAAGAATAGGACAGATATTGGGATGAATTTTCTCTAATCTATTTTTTAAATTTAGTTTAGTTTGACCAGATTATGTCCCTAGCTAATTATACTTATCCGTCGGCTATTAGCTCTAATACTAAAGCATTTTACTCTCACGTTAATGGCAAAGTTTGAATCTTACTTCGTTTATCTTGTGAATTAAAAACAAGAACCATACTTAATTACATCATTAACCTAACTTAAACAGGGACTAATATGGCAAATGATCCATTAGTGTGATGATTTGGAACAAATGCTCGTTCCAAGAAAAGTCCGAAATTTGAGTCATAGCATCCATATACTATATATGTAAGTTCAATATTCTATCACCCATCTCAATCAAAAAAATCCTTAAAAAATACATGGATTATAAGAACGGCTACTTTCTCAAGTTGAGCACGTGATAGAAGCACTGATACCCCTAGACAACAAAAACAAAAACCAAATTTAAATATAATTATTAAATTATTGATATGAACGGCTACTTTTCTCAGGAGAAGGAGAAAAACAAGGCTAGGGTTAGTTAGGCTGGTCAGGTTAATTAATTCACCTGACCATCAGAACATGTGAGGTTGGCCTTGAATTTCGCTTTTTTCGATAAAGAAATTTTTGATTTTTGAATTCGGTTATTTATTTATTTAGTAGGTGGGTCAACGGTGTGATGGTGAAGTAGACTTTTATGGATGATTTTACACTGTTTGATCATATTATATTTATTTATATTTTATAATAATATTGGCACTGTAAAAATAGAAAATCATGCAGCAGGTACGTAAACGGTAAACCCAATAAAAAGAAATAGAACAAGATTAAGCAAATATCAAGTTGCAGCATCTTAGTCTGTAAGTAACTTCGACCCCACTCATATGACTTATTGGACGTGTTTTATAAGCTGCTTTTGCATGGGGCCACACGCCATGCCAACTTACTATACTAAGCAAAATCAGTCTCCATTTTAATCCACTGATTTTTTTTATTTTTTTTTATTATATATATAACCGCTGTTAGGAAGAGGGGAATCAAACTTAGGACCTCAAATGAAAACGTAAATATTCTAAACTATTTGAACTACAAGCTCGTTGCCTCCACTTATATGCACTAATTAACTCTTTACGTTTAGTGGTAGTTATATTTCTTATTAAAAGAGATTCTAAATTTGAATTTCCTAATAGGTGAATGTGGTTTACAATTTGTAGGTCAAATCAAAGTCATGTTTGGCACAAAGACTTGTAAATCAGAATCCATTCCGTCGGCTAAAGGAGATCGATTTTACTTTTAACTTTGTTTTAAAGATCTTAATAGATCTTTAATTTTAGAATCAGAACCAAAAGTCTTTCAAGCCATACCGAATAGGTCAGATTGGTCTCTAAATTTGGGAGGCATGAATCATGATGAAGAGTTGAACTACATAAATAATATATATACCAATTTTTCATTATGGATGTTATTGGAAATTATTCGAGCCATTCAAATTTTAAGTCATTTTCAAAAATCACATATCCAGGCACAAAAGTCAGCTAAAGATGAGAAGCCCTTTACATACATAACAAATTTTCATATTGGACATTCAAATATTGAAATTTGTGGATGTTATCATGAATGATTCGAGTCATTCAAATTTTAAGTCACTTTCACGAATCACGTATCCACACATAAAAGTCAGCTAAAAATTAAAAAACCTTTACTAATGATAAATTTGAAACAATAACTCATCTAAAAGTTCGATCACAATTGAATGACTAAATAGTTTCTGATATTCCAATCTAGAGAATTTGTTGTAATATATATGCACACACAAAAATCTTTGACCAACTAAGGATCTTAGATTGAGAGAGAGGCAGGACTCTATTGGCTTAAGATTGGTGGTGGGGGTTGGGATGGACCATGAAGCATTGTCTCTTAACGTACATGAAATTAATACAAAAGCTGAATTAGATTCGTAGGGTTTTAGAGAGGGGACCTGCGTGGACCAAGAAATAGCCTGGTCACCATCCACATGAGAAATTACAGAGATATGTGTAGAAAACTTGTCTTCAATGGTAAAGCAAATGTCGATAGAAGATGCCATTTGCAAACAAGCCATTGGATAATGCCATTGTCATTGTATGTAGAAAAGAAGACATTGTGAGGGTCCATACAGAAGAACCCTAGAATTTCTAATCTCCAAACGAACGAGTGGACTTTGTGGGCAACCATTTTGCTTATTTGTCTTCCTCAATCCCACATTATGTTCCCTTAAACACTGATTAGTCAAGCTATCAATTCTCTTAATTTCTTTGTCTAATATCTGTTTCGTTCTTGATGGCCGCATTTGATTTGAAATGTTTGTTTTCACTTTAAATACATTTGTACAGATTAATAAAGAAGGCAAACGAAAGATACATTTGATTGACATGAGCTGATAACGTTACGTATAATAACGACGGCTCGCCTATCTCACTAATTAATGCATCACTCTCTATCATCAACAGGTACTGATTGAGACTAATGGAATAAAAATATTTGGTTTATTAATTTTAGTCCAGGCTAATTTCTTAACGGAGTTTAGCTCGGTGGAAAATGGCATATTAACTTACAGACTTGTAATTTTAAGTTCGAACCTCTATGTCACTATGATAGTGCATGTATGTGAAAAATCATGTTCCCATATAATTTAGATTATCGCTTGTATTAAAAAAATGCATACTAATTTAAATGGAAACCGTTTTTCGTTGGTGGTTTGAAGGATAATTATAGATATTTGTGCCTCATGGGTAAGGATCTAGCCTCTGGGTGGAGGTCACTTCTAAAAGAAAGACTTAAAAAACTTATTGAGGGGTAGGTCCCTATAAATATTTTCCTAATTCTTCGTTTTCTAGTTTTTAGTGGATGAACATGCATAGCATTCATGCTTATGTATTGGTCCTGTCTGGGGAACCCAAGCTAAGTAAGATAAGTGGAAATTACATGAAACGTAAAAAGTGTCAGTGTCAAAATTTTGCATAAGGTTAATTAGCCAATCAATTAAAGTAAACTTGTTTTGTCTTGACTCTGCTGGCTGCTTAGCTTTGATCCAGTCTCACAATCATCCTCATGTTAATTCAAGTTTATGTATCTGACACACACACAGATATCTAAATCCATTAATTAATCTATTAAACATGAAGATCAGT